GGCTTCTCTGGATACAGCTCGGGCTGAGGTTCATGCCCTGGGGCTGCAACGGCTACTGGCTCAGGATGAGGAGGGGGACACGTGAGTTTGGTTTGGGGGGCTGGGGGAATTTGGAGAGGGCCAGGACCGAGATGTGACTGTCACTTCATCATTCACCCCACCCCAGGCTCCTTCACCTGTTTGCTGCCCAAGGCCTACGCTGGTCAGCTTACGCCGCGGCGGAGGTCCTGCAGGGCTGTGGACAGCTAGACATTCGGGAACACCAAGGAAAGGTGAGGGGCCGTAGCAGGAAGGGAACAGCTCAGTGGCGTCGTATGCCTCAGTCTCACATCCTAACACCCTTTGCCCTGCAGACACCACTCCTGGTAGCCGCCTCAGCCAACCAGCCACTGATTGTCCAGGACCTGTTAACCCTGGGAGCTGACCCCAATGCTACTGACCACCGTGGCCGTACCATCCTCCACCTGGCTGCCACTTATGGCCTGCCTGGGGTCCTCACGGTGAGAATGGCTCTGGGGCGCCTGGGGTCCTGGAGATTGGACTTCTGGGTCCTCAGGGGGACAATATGCCAGCATCCCAGGGGACGGAAGCTGTGGCAAGCTGTGGCGAGGATACCTGGGATCCTGAGTGGGCGGGAGACAGAGTCTCTGAGGGACCTAGAGACCCAGAGAGAGAAAAAGGGGACTGGAGGCCCAGTTCTCAGGGAACCTGGGGGGAACATTGACTAGAACTGACCTCCACCCTTCTCCCCAGGCTGTGTTTAACTCAGGCATTCAGGTGGACATGGAGACCAGGGATTTTGAGGGTGAGTCATATTTGGATAGGGGCTATTGGGCAAAATAAAGTGGGGGGTCTCTAAAGGACTGTCAGGACTTATGGTCCCCATGTATCCCTATCCCCCAGGCCTCACCCCTCTGCATGCTGCTGTTCTCTCCCTCAATGAGGCCACCCAACAGCCAGCTTGCAGCTCCAGGACAATGACCGTCCCAGCACGGGACAGACTGGCCTGTGTCCAGATGCTGTTACAGATGGGGGCTGACCATACCAGCCAGGTGGGCAGGGTCCCTGAGGAGGTGGGGGTAGAGGCTGGATGCATCAGTCCCTGAGAATATAATAAGGAGGTCCCAAAGCCTGGGTTCTCAAGGTTAGAGAACCGGGTGGCCTGGCTCCCTGTGGAAGGGAAGGCCCTGGCCCTCATTTGCCCCTTTCTCTAGGAATTTAAGAGCAATAAGACTGTTCTGCACCTGGCTGTCCAGGGTGGCAATCTCTCCCTCGTCCAGATGTTGCTGGACCTGCCAAATGGGGATCCAAGGGCCTTTGTGAACATGAAGGTAGGACGTGGGACCAAGACCTTGGGAGAAGTGACCAAAGATGAGAGGTGCAGATAAGAGGGTGTACACCTGGGGGTGTAGGATGAGGGTCCAGAGAGCTTGGGGAGGGGTTTCCTGTGGGAGGAATCATGAAGTCACTGGAAGACCCTGTCCTAGAGCCCAGTGGGCCCCTGGAACATCTCACAAGAGGCCTTATCGGCAGCTGGAGAGACTGAGGCCCAGGGAAGAACCAGAGACAGGCTTCAGGGAGGGAGGTGGTGCCATCCAGCAAGGTCAGGATGCAGACCTTGTCTCTCCCCACCTCTTTGTCCCCACCAGGCCCACGGGAACACAGCCTTGCACATGGCAGCCGCCCTGCCCCCAGGATTTCCACAGGAGCCCATCATTCGTGGTCTCCTGGCAGCTGGGGCAGATCCTGCCCTGCGAAATCTGGAGAATGAGCAGCCAGCACACCTGCTGGGACCTGGACCAGCCTCGGAGGCAGTAAGGGCAGCCCCTCGCCCCTCCCCTGTTTGCTTCTCCCACTCTGAACTTGACCTCTGATGGCTGCTTCCCTTCCAACCCTGACCTAGACCTCTGACCCCAAGACAAAGAATGTTTGCCTCTGCCTGCCCATTCACCCTGACCTGTGACCTAGATCTCTGATCTCTGACTCCCTAAGACCCAGAATGTTGACCCATCCTGATCTCTGCCTTGTTCTCCCAGCTTCGGCAGCTGTTGAAGAGAAGCCGGACCCTCCCTCTGGCCTCATCCTCGTAGGACTCAAGGGCCACTACCTGGACTGATTCTTCAGTCCACATCTGTTCAACCTTCCTGTCCCTGAGGGACAACCAAACGTATGCTGATGTATGCAAATCTATGATAATTTATTTGGATCCCTATCCAACACCCCCCCCCCCACCCTGGGGAGTCTTACATTAAAACTCCTGTGATGTCCATTGACCCTGGGGGGAGGTGTCATGGACAGGGAAGCTGGGGGGAGGGGGAGCTTGTGATGATTTCTGTGAAATCGAAAGCCCCCCTGAACTTGTTTCTGTGAAACAGATTTAGCCCCAGACATTCCATCCAACCCTCCAACCCTTCGATTAAATTTGATTTGGACCCCATACGATTTTCTCCTGTCCTTGAGGTGGGGCATAATACAGGGGGATCATCATGGTGACCTGAATTTGAGTGTCTGATTACTGGGGAGGAGGGTGCAGGAGCAGGAGTGGCACAGAGACCCTCAGACACAGAATCCCATAGTGGTACAGGCAGGGAAACTGAGGCACAGAATGGCGAAGGCAAGTGATGGTGCTGAAATCCAGGGCTCCACATTCCCAGCCCAGGGCTCCAACGTCAGTTTGGGCACTCTGGCAGCTCCAGCCTCTACGAACGTGGCTCCCCAGTGGTCAGAAATGTCCAGGAGGATTTTCTGTGCCCCTAGCTGTCCCTCCAGAGAATGGTGGGCTCTTGCTACATGAAAGGGCCATGCCTTGATTTCTCCTGAACAATTTCCCAACAACACTTGGTCTCCCTCAACCACCACCACGAGATGCTCTGATACTCCTGATGCTGAATTCCCCCTGGCCTTCTAGACCCAACTCAAATCTGTCCTCTTCTGGGAGGCAGGCCATACACAATCCTGGGAATTTGGGGGGGGGGTGGAGGTAGGGTGGAAGGGGTCTAAGCCAGAGCTCGGTACCTTCCCCACCCTGGGCCTCTCTATAAGATGGTAGCAACTTAGCTTATGCTTTTTACTGGGACACATTGATCTCAGGCATGCTCTCTATCCCCTCCACCCCACCCCCATATCCACCTGGCCAAGCCCATAAGCATTTATATCGAACCTACTATGTGCCAGGCTTTACACTATGCTAAGCACTTTATAAATATTGTCTCATTTGATAATTCCAGTCCATAATTCTCATCCCCCCATCCTTATCTGCCTGGCCAAGAGAGACTGGGCTGTTGGACAGGGAAGGTTTATTGAATCATTAGTTTCACTGGGTCACAAAGACAGAGGGGGAGCCCTGGGGTGGAGTGGGGCAGCTTTTCTGCGCCCAATTAACTTAGAAAATAAATTAGGGGAGGAGATGGGGTAGCCATGGGCTTAGGGGGCCTCAAAGGTCAGAGAGCAGGAGTTTTAGGGCCCCAAGGGTGAGAGGTTTGGGGTTTAAGGGTCTCCCAAAGGCAGGAACTGGGGGATTGGGGATCCTTCTGGGTCAGAGATTGGGGGTTTGGGGGCTCATGGGTTGGGGATAGGGTCTGGTCACTCAGGGTCGCTCCTCCAGGAACCGATAGGTTGGGTTCTCATACCCGTGTCTCTGCAGCTCTCGGAGCTGCTGCTCCTCCAGGCTCAGCATGGGGTCGACCTGGGGCCAGAGATGGAAATCAGGAGAGCCTTGAAATTCCTGAACCCTGAATATCCCCAAGTAACCTGATGAACCCCCAGCGACCCATGTACTCCCACCCTAGTAATCTCTCAGTATGCCTCAACCCCCTGCTTCCCAATCCCGGGGGGTGGGCTCACCTCCACGACCCCATGGCTGATGGCCCCATAAGGCCGCCTCCTCCGGGCTACCAGCAGAGACAGGACAACGACAGCAGCCACAGCCACAGCCACCACCAGGAGCCCTGCCACAGCCCCACGGGCCACGCCTGTCCCCGTACCCATTCCTGGCTCCTGTAGGGGAAAGCAGGATCACAGTCTGACCTGAACCAAAGCCAGTCCTCAACATTCAGTGAAGTCGTAGGCAGACTCAGTCCCCAACCTCTGACAACCCGGGACCTCTGCCCCAAGCCACACTCACCAGCTCATCTCTCTGGATCTCAGGAGAGCGGAAGGGGAGACCCCGAGGGATGGAGACGTTCACCTGGGGGAAGGAGAAATTCAGGTCCAGCCCCTGGCCCTTCAAAGTGGCAAGCATCTGGCCCCTGGCCCCTAGCCCCTCCTGGATGCTGGGTCCAACCTCCAGACCCTTCCTTTTCCACCCCCTTTGAGAACCAGGCATCCAGAACCCCAGACTGCACCCCCTCTGGGACCCGTGGCCAGGCCAGGCACTGGCATTCCCTCACCTTATGCTCCAGAAGTCGCTCAGCTCCATCCCCTTCTGTGGACCCTGCACCCAGGAAACCCTCACTTAGACTCCAGCTGGGCCCAGATCCATCCCTCTGAGCCCCTCCCCTCACACCGCAATAATTCTTAAGGCCTTAGTGAACCTCCCCCACATCCACTCCAGTGATTCTGAGGGCCTGTCCAGAGAAGATTTCATGGTCTTCCAGTCACTCACCTTTAAGAGGCATCGTTGCACCCATGTCTGCCAGGGCGATGGGGAGAGTGAAGGATTGGGCGGGGGAGAAAGGCAAGAGATCAGGAAGAGGCAGAAAATGTCCCTTTTGTGTACTGAGCCCTTGATGCAGTCCCAGGCTTGGCCTCCTCCTGCCCTCCCACCCCCATCAGTGAGAGGCAGTCACCTTCTTCTGCAGCAGGTGGCGGGGGGCCACCCCCATCCTCACTGCTGCCCCCTGGGGGAGGTGCCTCCAGCTCCCCAGGACCAAGGTGCTCAGCCCGGAGCAGCTCCTCTGCAGGGGAGAATTGGGAAGAGAGCCTGAAACTGTCACCCCGGAAACAGGGACGGGGAGGGGCTGATGTGGGTCAGGATTTGGTGTTGGGGGATAGGCTCTAGGTGAAGTTTGAGAGTCAGGAGCAGGGGTACCCACGGATTTGGGGTTGAAGCTCCCGGGCCAGGTGTGGGTTCTGCTCAAGCAGTCCCAGGCTTTGGTTCATGCGTTCCTCGATCACCTGGAGATGGGTCTGAACCTGGAGTTTAAAAAGAACGGGGTGTTAACATGGAGGGATATCAGAGGAGAAGTCCCTTGCTGTGGTCCCCACCACTAGGAAGCTGCATGACAATGATCAGCTGGGGACAGAAAACGAGGACCAGAAGCACAAAGTGGAGAGGGGGTGGTAGACAGCGCCTGCACGGGGCTTAGGGGCCAGGAAGTGGGTCCCTCGCCCCTCCCTACCTGGAAGTGCATCTGCTCTGCTTTCTCAGGGTCTACGGCAGCCACATGTTGGTAGTGGCGTATGGTGTGTCTTTGTTCCTTCTGTTCAGCCCTCAGGTACCGTTTCAGGGCCTGGAGCACCCGTTCTGCCTGTGGGGGAGACCCAGGTGTCCAGCCCTACAGCCCAGTACCCTCAGAGAGTTAGGTGCGTGGTTCCCAGATTCCATCCCTTAAGGAGACAGGTCAGCTGGGTCACGAGTCACCAGGTCCATAGTCCCTGCTTCCTCATGGAGCAGAAGTCTGCAGTCTCCAGCTGCGTCCCCTCAGGAACGCTGGAGTTGGCCCCTAGCTCCCTCACCTGGGGCTCATCCCCCTGAAGAGCTGCGAGGAAGCCCTCCAAGGCTGCTCGACGCTGGTCATTGATGAGCGCAATGACTCGGGCAGCGTGGGTCTCCACCAGTCGCTGGCGCTCCCCAGACACCTGCTCCTCTAATGTCTGCAGGATTGACTGAAAATGCTAGAGGGGGAGGAAGGGATTATTGAGGCCACTGGTTCATTCGTGGAGGCTTAACAAACCCAAGGAGGGATGGACACCGATGGTCATTAACACATCTTTCATTGGGCCATGAAGAGTCAACAGAGTCACCAAGGTTCATTTAGGGTTATATTGAGTGGGGATTCTAGCTCATCCCCCTCCCAATCCAAGTGGGGCAAGGTCAGAGGGTCCTCACCTCATTCAGAGCTTGCCTGTCAGCCTTAGGGAGGTTTCTGGCTTGATTGTCAGCCTCAGCCCACTCTCTCATGACCTGGGATAGGGGTGGTCACATCAGTCCCCCAAGACTGCCTCCCAAGATCCCCTGGTCCTCTCCCCAAAACTCCTCCCCTAGGGACTCAAGGACTTAGAGGGAGGGGACTATCTTTTGCAGAGCATTCCAAGGTGTTATGGGCTGGGGGGAACTCAGTGTTATTTGGGAGTTTGAAGTTATTTTGAAACTTTATTGGGGGGGGTCTATGGGGTTATTGGGGGGTTCCAAGGCATTATTAGGGGAGGAGTTTCTGGTAATAGTGGGAATCGCTAGGGCATTAAGGTTATTTCAGAAGGTCTAGAGACAGGGTTATGGGATGATTCATGACCCCCACTTTATTAATCTATCATATTATAGGGAATACTGAGGTTACTGGCATTTCTGGGATCTAAGTATTATAGGAAAGAGTCATAGTCTCACCACATTGATCTGCCCTATTAAGGAAAGCACCCTAGGATTACTGAAGCAATATTCTGGGTGTCTCAAAGTTATTGAGAAAGGCTCAGGAAGGATTAAGGAGGTCTGAAAGTTATTCAGGGGGAGTGTCCTGGGCAAACGGGTATTTTCTTGGTTAGAGGGAATCTGTGTGGGTCCCAGGGGCAGCTAGGGCATCCTGGTCCCTACCTCATTAATCTGCCGCATCCGTCTTTCCTCCAGATCCATTTTAGCCCTTAGGAAGCCTGCGTGCTCACCACCCTCACCCGGCATTCCAAAGTACACATCCACACCGTCGGTAGGCCGGGCTGTTGGGCTCCCTGTGAGGTCCAGGATATGGGGTGTCAGAGCCTGAGCACAACTGTACCACGATGCCCTTTCTAACCACTGCCTAGGCTACCCTAGGCCACCAAGGAATATGTAGTGTCCTTCTGGGAGTCTGAACCCCAGAACATAGAGGCTTTTGTGGGTGGTACAGCTGGGACCTCCTCTCCTTCTCTAGGACTACTTTGTGCCAGCCCTCAGCAAAGGAGCCAAGGCTTCTGACCAGCCTGGCTCAGACTCTAAGGGGTCTCACCTTTGCTGGCTCTAGAAGGTGGTTGGGTGCTGGGGTGCTGGAGTCTTCTGGTCTCACTCTCCTCTTCTTCCTCATCCTCCCCTGGGGGCTCCACAAAATAGTCATCTACCGTTTGGGGAAATGGCTCCTCTTCCTCTTCCTCTTCTTCATCTCCTCCCGGGGATTGGGGCTGGGTGGGAGCATCACTGCAAAGAGGAAAAGACCCCCAGATCTGGCTGTGTGACCCACAGGCATCTAAGTATCCAGTCGCTGGTTCCCAACTTTCAGGGACGCTGGTCTTCCAGCTCTCAACCCTCAGGGTCCCAGTCATTCAGGCTCCCCAGTTTCCCAGCCATCCCTTCCAACTTTCACACACCCTCATGGAGAGCCAGGACCTCACCTATGTGGGGTCCGGGGAGGTACGGAGGTGCCTGTAGCAGGGCAGCAGACATACTCTACGCCTCGAAATCGATCTGTTCCACATGGGAGGAGCATCCCAGAGCCATGAAGAACAAGGCCCTCAGAATGGCAAGCCTGAGGAGGAATGATAGAGGCCCTTGGGTAGTGGGATGGATGGGGAATGGGGTGGGGGGAATAGATAGATTACTGAGTGAGCTGGAATGGGGAGAATGGGAGGTCGGACACCTAGGCTGGAGGGGTTGAAGAGATGGAAAACTAGACACTGGGATCCGGAGGGAGCGAATATGAGGTCTCTCGGAAAATTCTGTAGTTAGAGGCCAAGATGCCTGAGTCTGGGCCTCACCTCTTGGGCTTGGCGGTGCCTGTAGGCTGAGCCCTCGCACTCATCCATCCTCTCCTGGTGCAGGAACTTGCATCCCTCAGGAACCAAAAGTGCCTCACTCACAAACTCACCTGCTGTAGGGGCATGTGGGGAGATAAATGAGGTTCTCCCCTTTCCTCCCGCCCCCTCCAAATAATCCCTATGCTGCCCAGATGCCCACCTCAGGGATTCAGGTGTCTTGCCCCAAACCTGTTCCCCAGGTATCCCGGTCCCTGCCCCCACTTTCTCAGCGACACCTAGGGTCAAGGCCCCTTCACTCACGCAGGCAGTGATAGGGGATCACCACGTGGTGGGGACATCTGGTCCCGCGGGCACCCCCACACCAGCGCTCCATAGGAATGGGTCGTGAGGCCTCCTCCACGCGGCCGATCTGGAGGTCGGGGTACACCTGGGGGGGGATGGGGAAGGAAGCTCACGGTTCTCCTTGCGCCCACCCAAATCCCCTCCCAAGGGCTTTTCCCGAATCCTAAGACTTCAGCTAGGCTCCCACGGCCCCCGCATAGGATCCGCCCCCAAAGGTTTCCTCCCACCGATGCCCGGGCCATTCTAAGCCCCTCCCCTTCAGGCCCCCGGCCCCTGCCCGGCCCGGCCCCCTCAGGCCCCGCCCACCTGTCTGCAATAGGCCAGCACGTGCTGCGGGTCTCGCAGGCAGCGGCGTGAGTGCTGAGGGTCAGGTTCCCAGCGGCCTGTGCGCAGGTCTCTGTGCAGGGTCAACCTCCCGCAGAGCCCAGCCACCTGAGGGACCCCCGTGATCTGAAAAGAGCAGGAACCGTGAGAGCGAAGAACCGAGCGTCTGGGCTGCCGGCTCCAGCCCACGGCCCCGCCCCCCTCCGGGACCCAGGAGTCCCGACCCTCACATCAGAGATACCAGGCATCCAGACCCCCAGATCCCGCCCCCCTCGAGGACCCAGGCATCCGGGCCCCATCTCTAGTTCCCCTTCAGGGATCCAGGCCCCAGCCCCCGCTGCGGTGCAGATGGTGTTGCCAAGGCAACTGCTCCGGAGGGGATGGGGGGTCGCCATGGAGACTGGGTCCCAGGTGAATCGCCTGGCATCACCGGCTGGTTACCGCGGAGACCGACCCTCCTTCCCACTGCCGCACCCCCATCCTCTCTGGCCCGCGGGGGTGGGGGACGGCGTAGACATGGGTCTTTCTCTGGTCTTGTTCACTCCCCCACCCCGTGACCCTGGTGTTTGGGTCTCCTAGGCCACGATGCAAGAACCCAGGAGCCTAGGCCTCCAGCCCCTTACCCCACTCAAGGGCCTAAACGTCCTGATCCTACAATCCTTGCCCCCATCAGGCACTCACCAACCCTCTCCCCTCAAAGACTAGGGTCCCGCTGGCTCAGGGCCGCAGGTGTCAGGGTCCCAGCCCGCCCATCCCCTCCCAGACCAGGCGTCCAGGTCCCCAACCCATTCGGAGCCCCACCCCCCATTTCAGCCGCAGGTTCTGGGGACTGCAGAGCAAGAGTCGGGGTGGGGTGGGATGTGGAGGGCTGGGGATTCTGGGCATCTGGGTCCCCCGCCTCACCCGCAGCCCGGGGCGTGAGTCTCACCTCCCCAGGGCTAGGCGTCCCCCTGGATGAGCTCCCGGGTGCTGGAAGCAGCAGCAGCAGCAGCAGCAGCAGCAGCAGCAGCAGCGAACCGAGGCGGCGGCTGAGCCCACGGGCCGCGGGGTTCGCTGACCCCATTTCCGGGCCGGGGCTGGGGCCCAAGCCCCCTTCTCTGTCTCCCCTGCCCGGCCCTGCAGCGAGCCCTGGGCCCGCGATCTCCTTCCTCGGCTCGGCCGGCCTTCCTCCTGGCTAAGCCGAGCTCGCCCTACCTTCCCCCAGTCCTCGGTTGGTCGCCCTCCTTTCACTCCTCCAGCCCCCTCCCCCGGGTTTCCCCGCCCTGGGCCCGCCGGTGACAGGAGCTCCCAGCACCACCGCCACCTCCTCCTGCTGCTGCCCCCCCCAGCCCCGGGCTGCGCCGGCGCCGCCAGCCCCGCCCCGGCCCCGCCCCCCTGGCCGGGACAATAGCGCGGGTGAGTGTGCCGGCCCTGCCGCACGCTCCTCCTAGATCTTTTGGGGACCCCGCCATTCCTGGGCGATGTAAGCAGTAATGTTTCCAGCCCCTTAACCTTCAGGGGTGACACCCCCTCAAAGCCCTGAGCATCCCACCTCCACGTCCAGCCTCCTGTCCTAGATGCAAGGGAATGTCAAACCTCAACATTACGGCATCTCCACTCCCCACTCCACGGGCTGCCTCGGTAGCTGAAGGTGGGGGATAAGGGACGGTTCCCGAATTGGGAACATTTCAGCTAATTTTCCCTTGGACTTGGTTCACTGGGGCTGAACTGGGGCTGAAGGGATATAAACCTGTGGACAAAGTCTGGCTTCTGGGAAGGTGGGGGACCCAGATGCCTAGAACCCCTAGCCCCCCACATCCCACCCCACTCCAACTCTTGCTCTGCAGTCCCCAGAACCTGCCACTGAACTGTGGGGGTGGGGTACCGAATGGGTTGGGAACCTGGACACCTGAGTCTGAGAGGGGAAGGGGTAGGCTAGGACCTGAGCCATAAGAACCAGTCTTTGGCTGACATGGGCCCTCTGGGTTGGTTACTTGATGGTAAAAGAGTTCTCACACAAACATTTTTCCATTTTTTTAATTAAACATAAATATTCAAACCCCAACATCCACCCCCATATTTCCAAATTCCTATTTGCCTCAGCAATGGGGTCACCCTAAGAAATGTGCCCCAAATTCCCTCCTTCCTTACAGAAGGCTGGGTGGCCAACCGTAAGTTCACCATCTTGGATTCCTGGTGTCAGGAGCCATCTTGGCACAGTCACCACGAGATTGAGCATCTACCAGGTAAGGGAGGACCATCAGTTCCTGGTCCTCACACCATCATGAATCTGCTTCCTGGGCCAGGAATGACTTTTTTCTCCCCCTCTATTGGTATGTCCTTGATTCCATCATTGCCACTACCCTGTACGCTTCCCCTTCCAGGGAGCCCACCCTAGCTCGTGTGCCACTTTTGAGTTCTCTTGACTAAAGTGAACTGGTAGGCATGTTTACACTTTGGCCTTTTCCATTTGCTGGGCCAGATGTCCATCAAAGTCTTGTTCCTCCTCCCCCTCCCCCATTCCCAGACTTGGGTTGCTATCTTGAGGGGGAAATCTTCTTGGCAGTCCAACGACTGGACCAGTTCATCACACAAGAAAGGACCGGAGACTTTACAAAGGCCTTCCATCGGCTGGAGTGAGTGACCAGCTATCAGTCTGAGGGGCAGGTCACACATGGGTCTGAAGGCGCTGGTGGCCAGGAACAGGGAGGACAGTGTAGGAAAAGGGAGGACGCCCGGGAGCTGGGTCAGGGGTCCCATGGGGTGTGGATTTGACATAGTTGGTGAAAGCACGGGTGTATGGAGTGGTGAGGTAACCCTCCCGGTGCCTATAGAGACCACCTAGGTCTGGGGGGAATACAGCCAAGTGAGGGGCAAGATCATAGAACCCAGAAGGGCTGGCAGGGAAGGCCGGGGATGCTGGAGAGGAGAACAGGGCAGCTCCAGTGTCCTGGCTCACACTCACACCTCGAACTTTATAGTAGCCATTAGTGGGATCCTGGGGGGAGATAAAAAAGATAAAAATGAGACTGACAGAGATAAGGAAAAACAGAGAGAGGAAGGTCAAAGAGGAGGTGCCCAGGGGAAAGCAACAGAAATCAAGAAAAGGGGCCAATGGAGCCACAGGAAGATATACAGAGTATAATGGGAGCAGAAAGATGGGAAGGCACTTATGGGCAAGGCCAGGGAGAAATACAAGAACCACGAGAAGAAACAGGGAGACACCAGAGAAAAGTGAGGCGGATAGACAAGGAGAGACAGATAGAGAAACACAGGGTGAAGGACAGAGAAGACACAACTAGGAGGTCCCTGAACAATGGTGGAAAGGCTTATGGGTGGGGCTGGGAAACTGGGGCGGGGGCGGGGGGGGGGGACGGACAGGAAAACATACAGACATCAGTAGTGATGTGCCAGTGAAGGGAGACAAGTTAAGACAGCCCAATGGATATGCCAGGACAAAGGAGACACAGCGACTGAAAAGAGGGGGTAAGGTGACCCATGTAAGGACTGAGGACGAGATGGAAGGAGAAAGCAGGGGAGTGACAGAGGGGACCCAGAAAGAGATGGAGGGAAGAAGTCATAAAGAGATATAAAGACAGACTTGGGAGGGGGGCCCAGACCCCTCCAAGGGGCCTCCAAGCCCCGCCCTCGCCCTGCCCCGCCCACCTTGGACTCTGGCCCCGCCTCCTCATCACCCGCGACGTCGCTGTGCTTGGTGTGGGAAGTGCCAGTGGACTCGCTGCTGGGGACCTGAGGGGAGGGTATAGGGACTATCGTTGGGCGTCCTGGGGAGGCCCCCTCCCACCGCTATGAGCCACCGCCCGGGCCGCCACTTCTGACTAGGGTGTCGGCAGCCTTCAGCTCCTGGGCCCCGACCCTCGCGGGGCTCACGGGAGTCGCGGGGCGCTCCGCGCGAAGGGACGACCAGAGGCCCATACCTGGTTTTCCTGGCTCCCCTCCTCCTCTTCCTCGGGGGCCCGAGGGCTGGAACCATCGCTGTCGGTGATTTGCACCAGTATGTCCCGCTTGGAGATCTTCGCTCTGGAGCCTGAGGGTGGGCGAGAAGGCGGAGCTAGAGGGCGGTACCCCGGAAACGGAGAAAACTGAACAAGGTGGGACTACGGGGCAGGCTGAGGCAGGGACCGGACCTCGAAGAGCAGTTACCACGCCACTGACCTCGGCCTCGGCGCCAGCAGCAGCGGGCGCCCCCCGCGATGAGCAGTAGTAGTAAGGCAGTAGCCGCTGCGGCCCCTCCGGCCACGATCCGCACCAGCGGCAGTGGGTCTGGGAGGGGACACAGAGGTCAAAGGGGTCAAGGAAAAGTTTGGGGAGCCCGGGGCGGGGATCCAAGCATTCCGGAAAGTAGGTCATTTGGGGAAGCTTTAAGGCCCTCAAGAAGTCTCATCGAGTTTGGGTCCGCAAAGGGAGGGGTCCCTGGGGAATGTGGAGGTGCTGGGGCCCTGCCGGGGGCCTAAGGTTTTGGGGGTCCAGCTCCCCTCCTGTGGTTCTCTGGGCCCTTTGGGGATCCGCGGGCCCTCGCGGCTCACCAGTGCGGGTCAGCCGAGCCCGGGCTCCTGCCTCCCCCAGCCGGTTGCGAGCGCTGCAGTTGAAGTCTCGGGCGAAGTCTGGTTCCCGAGTCCCCGAGATGTGGAGCACCGAGACCAACCCCCGTCCCCCACTCCCCGTGGCCCCTGGGGCGGGGAACGTCTCTACTAGGAAGCGGCCTCGAGAACCCGAGGCGAGTGTGCCCTCGCCCCAGGACCAGACCTGGGGGGAGAAGAGAACAGGGAAAGGTTCGGCGCTGGGGAGACGAGACTGGGGGTCGGGGGTGTGGAGGCCCAGGAGGATGCCTCGGAAAAGAGGGAAATGGGATCGATTAGGAAACCTCACCACGGCATCGGGTGCTGGAGATGCGAGCACTAAGCACTCCAGTCGGGCAGGGGCTCCCAGAGCAGCAGGGGGCGAATGCAGGGCAGTCACTGCTGGGGGGCCTGGCAGGATTCAAGGTCCAATCAGAGACGACCCCATCCTTCACCCTGGCCCATCCCCTCCCTTTCGTCCTGTCCCCCAAAGCCTCTGCTCACCATGCACAGTCAGGGTTGCCTCTCCTAGGCCGCCCCCTACTCCTGAGGGTCCCGGCTCTGCGTGACACTCGTAATTTCCGGCGTCCCCCGGCCCCACGGACACCAGACGCAACGTGGGTCCTGAGCCCAGGATCTGGGGACGCATGGGGAAAAGGTCATTAGGGGAAATGGGAAGGAGGGCATGAGCTAAATCCAAAGCTTCTGCCTCCAGCCCTCCATCGCTCACCTTCGTCCCTCCCCGGCGTGTCCATGTCACTCGTGGAGGAGGGTTTCCTTTCCAGGCGCAGGTGAAAGAGGCATCTTCTCCCACATCTACAGCCACTGGCTCAGGTGGAGAGAGGAGAAGAGGACCGACTGGAGGTTAAAGGGAGATTGTCAGTGAGACTAAGGCCCTAGGACTATTGTCTCAACTCAGAGCCTCGGGCATCCAGACCTCCTAATCTCCCCCTCCTACTCCTTTCCATACCCAGGCATTAGGAGCACCCCAGGGCCTATCAACTGAGGAACCGAGGCACTGAGGCTTCCCAAGCCTGAAGGAACCCTGGCAAACAGATTCTTCACCTGCTGCAGGGACCCTCCCCAGCCACTGCCTCTTTGGAAACCGAGCTTGGGCTCACTCTACTCACACTGCACATCCAATGCTGTGCTCCTATTGGTACTGCCCACAGCGTTGGTCACCTCACAGGACACGGGTTCAGTCAGGAAGGAAGCATCAGCTTTTGCCTCTAAAAGGGGCCCACGAGCTCCAGGAAGCACAGATCCCCCTTTTGCCCACCTGGAAGAGGGGAAAGATCAATATTGGAGAGGGTCTCAAGTATGGGGGGAGCTATGGAGTCCTGGGAGAATCCCATCATTTGGGGGCTGGGAGTACGTTCGGGCGCTCACCTGTAGCCAGTGATTGGGGGATGGGCTGTTGCTCTGCACAGAAATGTGACCTTCCCACCCTCAGGCACTGTCTGTGGCTCCGAAGACAGAGTCACCACAGGAGGATCTAGGAGATGGGAGGGGATTAAAGTCAGAGTAAAGAAGGACCTGCCCAGCATCCTTTTCTTCAACTAGTTCTTTCCTTTCTGTCCAAGATCCCCTCAAGTCCCCTACAGAACTCAGAAGCCCAGTTTTCACTTACACTGCAGGCTGAGGGTGACCTCAGTGTCTTTACCCCTGGGCAGGGCTGGGCTTCGGGCCTGGCAGATGAAGGAGGCACCATCATCCTGGGCAGAGGGGGTGATTGAGAGGGAGCTCTCAGCTGTTCCCAGAATCCCACTGGCCAGCAGGGTCTGGGAGGTGGGTGGGCGGAAAAAAGAAATGGGGTGAGGGATGGTTGACCTCTCTGACCCTCATCAAAGGAATGGCCTAGCTTATTTCTCATCCCTCCTGACCCAGTCTAAGGTCACTATTACCTCCAAAACTTTTGCCAAAGCCTCCATAGATAAATGTTTTTCATTCCCTGTTCTCCCCATGCTGTGAAGTGGGAGATAGCTCCAGATTATAATCTGACCTGGCTGTAACTGGCTCCCTCCAGACGGACACCATCCCGAAACCAGAGCAGCTCAGGAATGGGGCGGGCTCCACCTCGGGTCCGACAGGTCAGGTTCCCAGGAACCCCAGCAACCAGAGCCACAGTTGGGGCTCCTAGCACCTCAGGTGCTTGTGGGGGAACTGAGGAGAATAGGAGAACACTGAACCTCCAGGCCTCCCTATCTCATCAAAGACTCCATCCTGTGCCTACTAAGATCAGGGATAGTTGGGGAACAGTGGAGACAGATACTTGAGACCCTGAAGTGACACATGAGGGACAAGTCCTTGAATTCCTGAAGCCAAACACATGAATTAGGGGTGGGAGGGGGCCAGGCATGTGAGTGGGGGGAGAGGATGCCTGCGTCTCACCTAGAAAAGGTATCAGGAGTTACTCACCCAGTACTTGGAGCTGAGCAGGCCGGGATCGAAGGGCAGCCTGGGTAGCCTGACACTCATAGGACGCTTCATCCCCAAGTTCTGCTGCCCCAATGTGCAGATCATGGTGGCCACTGGCCCTGTCTCCCGCTATCCAATAACGGGACCACCCTGGGGGAGGCACATAACAAAAGGGGGAAGGGTCATATTTCTAAATCCAAGCCTAGACAGTCTCAATCCAGACTTCTCTAATCCCCCTTAGGGAGATGTGCCAGCCCCTAAAACACTCCAGAGGGTTCTTCTCACCAGGCAGATCCCGTTCACCACCTAGTGCTAATCCATCCTTTGTCCATTGAACCAAGCCATGGTAGCCGCTGAGAGCACAGGGGAGCGTTGCCTCCTCCCCCAGGACAACTTCTAGGTCCTCCGGTTGCTGTATGAAGTGGGGAGCATGGCCTGGCGTGAGGAGAAAGATGAGTCAGAGCTTCTCAGGGAGATGCAGTGTGCCAAACCTTCATCAGCCTCTGTCACAGGCTTGGGAATGCCCAGACCTTCAGTTAGACCTCTGGTAGGGGTGGGAGCAGAACTGGATTTCAAGGGTCTACTCCAGTCTTTTCCTTTGTCCCCAACCTCAGTGACTTTTTGTGCAAGGTAACAGAATTCCAGTCCACCAGTCCCTTCCCCCAGGACCCAGGCATCCAGACCTGTCATCTTCCTTTTGCTGATAATCCTGGCACCCTAAGGTGACAATGATACTTGTTTCTGTCCTTCCCTCCCTGAACCTTGGAGCTGGTACTCCTGGCTCTGAGGGCCTCTCCCACCCCACCAACTAGAGTTGAAAAAAACATATGGGGAAACAGGTACATGGGCATGGTCCCTTCTTTACTCCCTTCCTCCCACTTAAACTAGGCATCTAAGAGGGTAGCACCTTTGCCCACATCCTATACCTCCCATCCTATCCCGTACCTGCATTGGAGCCGACGAGGACGAGGAAGAAGAAAAGAAATAAGTGTAATGAAAGCATCTTGGTGTTCTGGTGTCTCCCTGAGGTCCTCAAACTTTCTGTGCTAATAGTAATCCCCACCAAAATGCTGGGCTTTCATCCACCCACACTTCTGCTCACTTTGGCCCAATAGGAAGAAATTCTGACTGCGCTTGTCCCCTCGGCCCCCAAGGTGGGCTCTGTGACCCCTCAGGCTCAAGCTCCTGGAAGCCTGGCTCTAGCTTCTGCTCCCAGTCTCTCTGCTTGCCTGATGCTCAGTAAGTCCCCCGGGGCTGGGCCTGGCTACACACTTAGGCAGCCTTCTTCTGCCCCGCCCCTAACTGGACACGCCCCTCCTCATTGAGAAAACCCTCTTCGGGCTGACAATTAGAGACTGGGGGGGAAGGGGAGAGTTTAGGAAAGGAAGGGTGTAGTGGGGGGGAGCCACCTGTCCTGAGGGAAGGTGGAAGGGGAGCAGTGGCTGGGGGACAGAGGTGTGGGTCCTAACACAGGAGCAGGGTTTAGGGGACCGAATGCCAGGTTCTCGGTTGGGGCATGGCTGCACCTCTGGGCTCCAGGGGAGAAGCTCGTTCAGTTAGTGGAACAAACTCGCTCAGGCAGGGCCCTAGGGTAGGAAGCTGAGTCTCCAGGGCTCCCCAAGTGGAAAAGAAGATATAAACGGTCCAGGCCTCAAGGGTTCCAGCTGAGCTGGGGACCTAGGGGATGTAGGACTATTTTTAGCTTGAGATCAAGGTCAGATCAGGGTCAGTAGTTCGGGGGGGAGAAACTGAGACTCAGCCATGGGGGAGGTTCCCCACCCCTGATTCTGGGGACCCCATCCTCCTTTCGAGTTCCTAGTCTGATCATGGATATTAGAGCACAAAGTTCTTATTACTAAACTCTGCCAACCCTTCCCCCTGCCTTTTTTAAAATCAGAAACCAGGAATCCTGTCCCCCAGATCTCTTTGGGGGTCCAGACATCCCGTCCACAGTCATCCACAGGACTAAGCATCCTGTCTTCTATCTTTTGTTGCCACCTCTCATTCCCCCCACCCCCTGCAAGATCTCAGGCATTCATGTCCCCACACTTCCCTCTGCCTCTTCACCGCCTCCATGGTCACCCGGGAGACACATGAAAAGTAGGAGGAGCCAGGGACTAGGAGGCTGGGAACAGAGCAGCTTGTCCTGACGGTTCAATGAGGGTCCCAGCCGTGCGTTCCCACGAAGGCCAAAGGGGTCTAGGGGCAGCTGGGATAGGCAGGCGGGAGGGAAGCGAGCATATCCCTGAGAAATATCCTCTTCCCACAACTAGAGAACAGAAGACTAGCCACCTGGGTCCTTAGGAAAAGGGAAAGATAAGGGTGGGATGGATGCCTCGGATTCTGGGGTGGGGAGTGAGGGGTGGGGGGGTTGAGGCTGGGGAGCTGAACACCTGGGTGTCCTTCTAAGGAGAGGGTGGGAAGAGGACTGGAAGCCTGGGTCTCTGAGGAGAGGCTAGATGCCCAAGGAGTTAAATGGCTGGGGGTGGGGAGGGAAGGAGGGAAAGAGGCAGATGCCTCAGGCTCAACTCTGAGAGGATGCCATGTCCTGCAGGGTCAGAAATCCGGCCTTAAATCACCCAACTTCATTGGATTTAGCCACCAATCCAGATGCCTACCTCAGTACTACAGCCCCTCCCCATCATGTTGCCTGAGGATTTGGGGATCAGCAGACACTAGACATCTGGCTGAATGCCTGGGTTCCAGAGCTATGGGGGGGAGGCAGAGGAAAGGAGGGCAGTGCAGAGACTGGAGTAAGGAAAGTTTTGAACAATTTCCCCCAGATGCTTTTGCTCCCTACCCTCCCATGATGGAGATGGAAAGAGGGAGCATCTGGGATGAGGCCCTAGGGAGCCAAGTCAGGAAATAAGCTGTTGCTAGGCAAAGGAAAGGAAAAGAAAAGTGCTGGGGGAGGAGAAGTGAAGGGCGATGGTGAGATCTGATGCTAATTAAAGATGATGAGATTCCTGGCTAAAGGCAAGTGCCCCAGACCTTTTCTCTGCTTCTAAGACTCCTGGGACATAACCACCCTAGATTAAGGCATATTGATCGGAGGCAAGGCACCACAAACCCTACCCTTGGTCCCTATTCCAGATACAGGTGGTACCCAGTCCTCCAGTCTGCTCCAATCAAACTCCCAAGCCCCCAGCTCTTTTATGTACCCTTCTACCACCCAGGGACTCTAGGGGTGTGGCCCTCCAGTTTCCATCCTTGTGCTCTTGGATTCTTGCCCATTAACAGCTCACACACCAGCCCCCAAGATCACCTGAATTCTCCAGAGCTGGCTTCCCTTGGGGAGCAAGACTTGGGGTGACTACAATACAAGGGAAAGGGAACGAGGACTCTGGGAGATATCTGGAGAGAGGACATAAGGAGACAAGAATTCTGAAAAGAATCAGAGAAATTTGAGAAAAGAGGCTGGGGCAAGGAAGAAGAGAAATAGAAATCTAAAGACATAGATGAGCAGAGGGGAAGTGACATGAGAGGGTTTAGAGAGCTGGAAACTGGGGCTCCCTCTAAAACAGTCTTCCCTCAACAGGGGGTGCTAAAAACTGTGTAGGAAGTGCTCAGGAATATGGTGGCAGCAAAATGCCAGAACGAAGGACTCTGAGATGGGGGCGTGTGGAGTGATGTGATTGTGTGAGTAAATCTCTGGGAGCTAAAATGAGAGCAGAAGAGGCTTATCCCTTACAAGGAACATCAGCATATGGTCCAGGAATTATAGGATGTGCTAAGGGGAGAAACAGAGTGATTGACAAGAAACAACATTTATTCATTAGTTAACATTTATTAAGCTCAGAAAAGAACTCCCCAATGCCCAAGAAGGTACCTGGAGATCACCCAGTCTTACCCCCTGAGCCCACTACAGGCCTAGAGATCACATAATAACACCTTGTGATGCCAGCTGAAGTCAGGGAACACAAGTCTATATACCTGTGAGGCCTAAGGATGGCTACCCTGAGTAGTGTGGAGACCACATATCCCACACCACCACTTCCATAACCTAACTGGAGCTCAGAGATACAACAGATAAGAACCCTGAGTCCCCCCCCCCCCCATCGGGGCCAGGAAAATCCCACAAAAACACAGCTGGTGGCCTTACCTATGATAGAACAACTATGTGAGACCAAAAGGATCCTACAGATACCATAATGACAAATACACATAGTAGGGGGTGCAAAATGTTAGCCAAGCCGCCCTGGGTGCTCAGTGGACACTCAGAAATTCCACAGTAAGTCATCTGTGAACCCCCTGGAAATCTCACAGGAAATACAAGAGGATGCCCCATCTGGTCCTAGAGATCCCACCATAATACTGCTGTTAAGTCCAGCTGGTACCTAGAAATGCCACAATCACTCCCATGAGCCCACCTCAAAAATAACCTGACCTCAAAAATAACACTAATGCCAACTGGGTTCAAACACCCTATAATAATAGCGCACTGTGAAGACAGCAGAGTCCCAAACCATCCAGAGTAATATATTTGTGAGCCCACTGAGAAATCAAGAATCCAAGAAATAGAGTTGGGAGACCCCAACTGGATCCCAGAGGCTCCAGGATAACTCCAATGAATGAATCAATGAAAAAACATTTATAAAGTGATTACTATGTGCCAGGAACTGTGCCCAACATTAGAGATACAAATACAAGCAAGACAGTCCTTGCCCTCAATCGTTTACAACACATAAAGGAGAGGTACGAGAAGAGTGGTAAATACTGCGGTGACAGGTATACAAAGACAAAAAACAATTCCTGCCTTCAAGGAGCTTATATTCCCCTGGGGAGGAGAGAACAACGTGTGAACAGAAAACTATATACAGCACATGACAATTTGAGGAGGGAAATAGCACAACTAGAAGGCTCTGGAAAGGCTTTCCAAAGGAGGTGGAAATTACTCATGAGCTGGGCCTTGAAGGAAGCTCAGCATTCTAAGGCCCAGAGGGGAGGAGGGAGTGCATTCTAGGCATGAGGGACAGTTGAGGCAAGAGCATGGAGGTGAGAGATGGAATTTAGAAAACAGGAAGTATTTTGGCTATAACAAAAATCATGTGAAGGGGAGCAAGGTGCATTAAGCCTGGAAAGGCAGCTGGAACCAGGCTGTGAGGAGCTGAAGACACTGAGGAGCCCCAGGAGGTCCTCTAGCAGGAGAGTGATGAGGTCATCCTAGTGCTTTGTGTGGAGGAGGCAAACTGGCTAGGGAAGGGAAGGACCAGAAGCTGAAAGACTAATTAGGAGGCTATCACAAATAGTCCAGGCAAGAAGTGTGAGGTAGATGATTGTACGAAGAGAAGGCAATAGGATACAAGAGAAAACAAGAGCCCAGCCTGAACCTAGAGATGACCTATCACTCATTACTATGGAAATCAATGCCCCTCAGCACATGTGTTCTGACAAGGACCCAACAGGGTCAGTACCTCTGTGAACCTCCTACAACTTAAGGGACCCTATAAGAAATCC